AAAAAAAAATATGTATAAAAAAGAGTGAAGTTATTTGGCAATAAAGGAGGAATAGCTCAATCTTTCTGGCTTTCCCTTCTTATTTAAACAATGAGATATTATATGAAAAAATTATCTCATGAAATAGGCACTATACAAATAACAAGAAAGCACCCAAATAAGGGTTATCTGCACCAAAGTAGATTGATGTCTTTACTATTATGCTAGGATTTTCAGGGAAGCATCTTATGGTAGTTGTTCACCATTTCTAATTTATTAACAAGCAACTTTTTGACTCTATCTTTAGGAAATATAATCTTGGTAGAATCTGCAATATAATATATATGCAATTGGTTGTTTAAATAATCCAAACTTTGAGCATAGCTTAATTCTAAATATATGTTTTGTATAGTAGTCCCTGCTCATCAATGTGAGATATATACCAAGACTCTGAATGTATGCCTACAACTATGGATAGTACTACATCTTATATAGTGTTTATTTCTGCATATGCACACATAAATTAAATGCCTTTCCAAAGTCAGTGAGTATCATGCATTGGGATAGTAACTTTTACTCTTGAGGTACAAAAACAAGCTATGAGTGTTTTCTTCATAATTGATGGATAGAGTATTGCTTTTGACTGTAGTTTCTAGCAGTTTCAATATACAAATTTCTCTTTTCATTAATTTGAGATCTTTTATCTTTTCACTTAAAGGAAGCATTTGATGGCATCTCTTTGGAATACTGAATCACCAGCATCACTACTCTTGTACTTCAGAACCAATACTAAGTAAAATATGGGATACTTAGATAACTAGCTCTGTCTGCAAATCTATGACAGTTGATCCTATAAGTGAGATAGCTACTGTATGACTAACTGGAGGGTAATATATTCAGTGTGGATACACTGGGCAAAGAGTTAATTCATGCCTCAAGAATGGAAGAAATGGATGACATTTTATTATACCACTCAGAATAGTCTGGGATTTAAAACTTATATTTTTAATTCTGAAATTTTCTTCTTTCTCGAACAGGGTTATGTCTTCTGTCTCTTCTTTTTGTACACCAATAGTTTACAAAGTCTCATCCCTTCTACTTCTTCATAAAAGTAAAAGCTCATGAGATAATCATCTTGTATATTTTACAATAGGGAAAAATGTACAGTAAAGATTTTGGGTAGAAGGAACTGGTTTTTTCTCTGTAGTTTATGTGAACAGGTTGTTTGTAAACCACACAAAAATGTGCAATCCTTAGGATGTTAACACACAAGGTCATAAAACATATGTTCTGTCACTTAATTTGTGCATTGTATCCATCCAATATATTATGAAAGGTGGACATTATTCTTTAGCTTGCATTTTTATGGTGATTTACAATTTATAAAGCACTTTTAAAATATTGTTCTGTGTGATACCAACAATAACTTTTCATTAAATGAATTTGAGCATAACTGAGATTGTGAAGTGAAGAAATAAATCCCCACATCCACCATTATGAAATGGTGCAGCTATGACTCTAAGTCAGATTTTTGACCTGTAAGTCTATTGTTCTGCCTATGACATCAGAGTGGCATAGCAAAATTTATGTCATCAAAATTCTAATGGGTGAACACTAAATTGGGTTAGAACACGTGTAGGTGTACCAGTCTTTCTCCTTTCTATTCTTTTCTTGTTTTATTTATTTTTTTTTAGAAAATGGAGAATCCTTTTCAGCATTAACTTTGGGGTTTCTTTAAGTCTACCATCATGGAAACAATTGGATTTTCTGCCAAGAAACATTAAAGCTGATTTGACAAGAATGACGAGGCACTTCAAGAATTGAATGACTGTTAGCACAAAGATTTTAGAGCTTGCTAAAATTATATCAGCTAAATGCAAAAGAAATGAAGTATCTACTCAGAGGTTCAAAGGAAATCCTGTGACATAAAAAATAAAGGTAGAGTGGCCAAGTATGTAAGTTCATCCTTCAGCTTTGTGATTACTATAATATAGAGTTGGTTTATGTATTAACATCTCTGTAGGTCCTCATACTGAAGAACTCATTGAATCCTAAATTGATTAGAAAGAAAGAAAGAAAAAAGTATGTGTTTATTGAAAGACTTTCAGAAGACCTATTTAGCTAAGACTCTTACTGAGTTATATGTTTGAAATTCTAGGTTGGTTCTTCTGAAGTGAGATAACTGCTCTTGTCACCATATCAAACAATGTGTGGCAAGTCAGAGGCCAGTGGAGAAGAAGATGTTTGAATTTGATGGATGACTGTTGAAATCATCATGAGGAGTGGTAGAAACTTCTACTATGAAACTGTACTTCTTAAGGATCTATGGTGACAAGAATTATTTCAAAATTGTTGCAACTTTAAAAAGCTAAGATAAGGCAGACTTTTTCCACAATTTTTTTTCAAAAAACTTTGAACTGCAGTTTAGGTTAGTCTAGCTAACAGATTTTTCACTTTTACAGTTGAAAAAGCAACGAACAAATAAGCAAACATAATCTTTTACATATAGCTTCTTTAATCTCATAAAACTCTGGCTTTTAAAACAGCTTTTAAAAATATACTCTTAATATGGATTTTCCTTAATCTTTGCATTTAATTAATGCAGGATCATCTCTGCCCCTTTTAGGAATGGAATCTCAGCATGAATATGTTATCATCTAATCTTCCTATTACTGGAATAACACACTTGGCTATTGACAAGCTCAGTGTTAGAAAAATAACCAACCTCCAGGTTAGAGGAATAACTAAATAAATGATCAACTATTAAAGTAGTCTCAGATTTGTGGATAAGCACACATTGATTTCTAAATTGTGCCTCTTAGGTGATACTATCATATTTGGTGATATGAAAACAGATTTGAAAACTGCATTTACTGAGATAACAGACAATGAAGCTGGTGTTTAAGGTGTAGAAGACTAATTTTATGTGAATAACCTCATGTTAAATTAAGTAATTTTGGCAGTTGAAGTCAATGGTGATGTTCTACACTTTTCTGAATATTTTCCATTTTTTAAAAGATAAATTTTACCAACCATCTCCTGAAAATGATTAAAGTTATGATTTATCAATTATTGAAAATTTATCTCCTATGCTGCTTTAATTAGAAGGTTTTTTTTTTTGAGCTGTATGAATATTTTGGATCAGATAATTCTTTGATGTAAGGAGCTACCGTATGCTCTGTAGGATGGTTAGCAGCATCTCCAAATTCTACCTTATGTGCCAGAAACTTCTTCCCTTGAGTTGTAACAACCTTAGACATTGCCACATTTCTCATGATTGAAGTGTGTGTGTGTGTGTGTGTGTGTGTGTGTGTGTGTGTGTATGTGACAAATCACCCTAGTTGTGAACCATTGGAGTGGATTCCTAGACTTCTGGGTTTTAATCTTTCTAGCTTCTGTGAATACTGAATGTAAAGATGGATGGGCTTAATGATATGTCCCATATCACACAATTGATTGAACTAGAACTGGACCCAAACCTAAATTTAGTTTTCCCTGCAGTGACCTTTATATAGCCCAGCATGTTACCGTCAGATACCACTTGTGGAAAGAATAGTGTACTGACCCACAAATAACTGAGTTATTCCTTAAGAAAATTCTGGGAACATGAAATGATAGTCATCAGAGCTGAGCAGAAAAATAATCTCTAAATAAAATACTTTTAATGAACAAAATGTAAATAATAACTTCAGTTTACAATATATTCAGTCTTGCAAGTATTTTCGGTGATGTTAACTAAGTAGCATCTCACAAAGTAGCATGCTCACAAAGATTCTCTCATTGAGCAAACTCTACTCAGGGTACTCTGTACTCTCTTTCAACCAGGCCTGGCTTCGGGCTTCTAAACTCTACTGTGTGTTGCCAATTTCAGAAGAATCCTGTCAGTTTATTGTTGGCATATCCCTGGCAGCATCATATCACTCACCATGTTTAAATAGGTTCTTCATTCTCCACCATCTCGGTGGTAATATCTGATCACACTAACCTGCCTTAAATGGGAATCCTGTTGAATTGGCTTAGCTGGAATCTTTCTTAATCACTGATCCTTTCTCTTAGTAATTTTCCTTCCACTGACCTCTACCCTGATCCTCAGCTATAAATTCCTACTTGTCCATGTTGTATTTGGAGTTGAATATTTTTCCTTCCTGCACAATCCCATTGTAGTAGCCATGTATGAACGCCTTATCAGAATAGTATCTCCTTACAAACCTTGAATACAGTCTACCTTGTCATCTTTAACAAATGTTATGATGATGTTTTTCTTTACTATTTCTCACATAGTGCATAGGAAGTTATAGCTACCCTGAAATCAATCTGTACAAGATTCTTGCCCATTAGCACCTCATATGAGGCATGAATTTGTTGAAAATGTCCTGACACCTCAACATTTTATAACTAAAGATAGAAAAAAAAATGCCTGGCAAGAATGACACATTAAATTTTGAATGAACAGCCCAGGACCAGTCATTACATGAGGAAATATGCGCTTTCATGGGGACAGCAGCTGGGGTTTTAGATCGGCCCTACTAGCCATCCCTGGTCTATCAGTAAGACAATAATGGAAACCATCCTCCTCCCCTAATGAAAATATTGCCAAGAAAGTACAGTGCTGCACATCCAGCTGTTTGAAGAACTGAAGAGGATGCAAAGATAGTGAACACAGATGAGATATATTTTGCATTTTCTACTTTGATATGAATATGAACATCTGATGTATTAGGGCACCTTTCTCATACCTACCTTTCTTTCCTTCACACATTATGTTAAGCGTTCACTACTTTCATGTATCAGTTGTATACAAAAGCTTTATGTCTTTTGTTTCTTGGATTTATCTCCTTCTTTACACCATTTTTACTGAGCTATCTGGTTAAAAAGTTGTTAATGCTTCATAACACATATATCTTATGCCATATGGAAGGTGTTTTATGTGTAGGATATATTTGTTTGAAACAATTTAGGATATATGGTTTGCTAACAATCCAAGTAGGTTTAAATTTAGGAGAAATTCTAGATACTTAAAGTGTATGGATATAAGTATTTTTAAATAATTTTAAAAATCTGAAGAGCAAAGAATATATTCATTTTGTCATTTTGGAAAATGTAGAAACAGATAAGAAAATCATAATTGATCACAGTCTCATCTCTGAAGATTATCCAGGTAATATTTTTATATCCCATATACCTATCTGTATTGCATGCATGCATTGTACATTTATACAAACATGTAGAATTACGTAGTAAGCTCTGTTTTTGTCAGTTTTTTTCACATTCTTGAGTCTAGTTTTTCATGTCTTTGATTATTCAAATTGTGAGTGATACTCATTTATATTATATACTTCCATGTTACTAAGCTTTTGCTTCCAATTTTATTTAGCTATTATGATAATAAAATGCTTTATGATACAATATAGTAATGATACAGTTGATCTTGTATGTTTATCTTCCTGGAACATTGTTTCCTAAAAGTCAAATACTGAGTCATGAGCATTCATAGAATTCTTAAAACGTATTACCCCCCTGTCCTCACCCACAGAGATTGGTTAAACTTCTATCAGATACGTATGAGAAGATTTAAATTTAACTTAAGTAGCAAAATGTAATTGTTGAATTACATCTTAAACATCTAAGAATTAAAGTAAAGATCTAAGTAAACATGAAAGAACTGAGGGATATCTTTATATCATCCTATACTCTCTTCAGCACTAAATATGTTTTCTTTAAATTTAATAGCTTTTAATGAATAGACATCAGATCAAAAGTAAAAGAATTTTCCATGGGATATGAGAAATAGTTTTCATTTGAAAAATAATCATAAAAATACATGAAACATTAAGTATAAAGATGATACAATCAAACTCAATTTTCTGCTTTATTCAGATTTGTTCATTTTTGAAGCAACTGTTTCTTTTTTTTTTATGGGTACAGGGAATCAAACTCACAACCACGTGCTTGTAAGACATTTATGCCACTGAGCTAAATCCCCAGGCCCTTTGAAGTAACTATTATATAACACCTCTACAGTCTTGAATCTAGTTGGAAAGATAAATGCATACTTAGCTATAAAGAATGTCATAAATAATAAAGGAAGTGGTAGACAAAATACAATGGAAATATGGCTTTGGGGGATGGAGCCTACAAAAACCTTGCAGCAGAAGTAATTTCTCAAGGATTTTTTTTTCAGAAGGGTGAGAGAGAAGTGTTTCTGGAACAGAGCAACATGAAAGAGATGTAAGGGTCTGGCATCACACAGCTTGTTCCCACAATGATGGCACAAGGTTTGGCTTGCTCATAGAAGGCAGTGGTGTTAACAACAAATTTTCAGTTTCTTTTTATGACATTTTGACTTATTGTGTAGTGAAAGAAGGACCATGAAAGAGTTCTGAGCAGGAGACATGATTCTTTCTGTTTTTGAATCCAAGTAGGATGATTCTGGAAATAAAATGGCTGGCTATTAACACTACCCAAGGGTCATGATAGGAGCAGAACTACATCAGCTGTGAATAGAATATATGCAAGGGGCAGAGTAAAATGTGTCAAAAACTAAGAGAAGAATAAGAGGGAAAATTCTTTGACATGGACCTTTGAGTTTTGTGAGAAAGTCAAGCAATGAAAGAGTAAACAATGATATGAAAGTAAGTGATGATGAGCTGTACCGGGAAACTGATCAGAGTACCATAATGGAGAGAAAGAAGATTCCCTTAGATAGAAAGACATCTAAGCTATGACATGGAGAATGATTTTGAAAATCCAGTTTGCAAAAATCTGGAGTCTAAGTAAGAATGCCTGGTGTTGGAACCTCCTCAGACAGAATGGGTGATAAATTCTGAGGGTTGTTGTAGTGCAGGGGCAATCACGTCGTCCTAAAATCAGATAGCCTTGGATATTAATCCAGGCCCTGCTATTCAGTCTTCCCATCGTTAGTGTTCTCTGTATAATTGGAATAATAGTGCACATATGACAGCCATTGATTATATAAAGTAATGTATGTAAAATTTAGCACACTGACTTCAGATGGTAAAACCTCAATGAAAGTGGTTGCCTTCAACACCATTATTGTTATTAAAATCATTGTCAGTGGACGTAGCTCAGATGGCATAAACATCTGCCTGGCAAGTGCAAAGTTGTGAGGTTGATCCCTGGTACCTGGAAAAAAAAAATGGTGAAACTAAGAAGAAGAGGGAGAAATAGAGCGCTTCAAGTTTTTGTCTTAGGTAATGAGGAAGTAAGACAGGTGGTGTAGAAAAAGAGCTCACAGGCATTTTCAGATAGTGAATCTGATCTGAGGAATCTACTGGTAATTCAGTTGGAATTCAGATCTAGAGGTCAGGAAAAAGGCCAGCATATAAACATACTGACTTTGCTCAAGGAAGTATTCAAAGATTAAGGTGAGAAAACTAGCAACTCAGCACTTCATGTAGGGATTCCTTTAAAGAAAATTTTGACTTTGTGAAAAAAAAAAATACTCTGTCACTGACTGGAAATCTACCTATAAATTACATTCCATGGCTCTGGAGAAATTTTTCAGTTGTATGTAGAATAAGAGCAATTACTATTCTAAAGCAGAGCATTTAATATCTGAATACTCTCCAGTATTCATCTAGGAACATTGTTCACCAGTATTTCATGCTCTTCTCATATAGAGAGATCTTTATGTTCATGTTATTCTAATAGTTTTGGACATATTTAAATATGTTCTTGCACCAAATAAAACTCAATATTCCAATTTTGATTTGATCCTCTTGTTAGCTTCAATCTATGATTTTCACCTGTCAGGTGCTTATCATCCTGGTTCTATTATCTAGTGATTCCTGTCAAGTTTGTGTCATATACTGGTTAGATGAGTATGATTTCTAAAACTTTATCCAAGTTAATGATAAAGATATTTAAAGACTAGCGTAGTGTAAATTGGATTATTCCTGCTATTAACTAGTAGGTGGGTCTGAAAGCCTGGGCTTCTCTTGAACTTTAAGTTATGCTTGAACATTTAGGTTTCAGTGGGTTGAATGCATGTAAACATAAGTAAGCAAAAATGAATTGAGGAAAGAAGGTGCAATAAAAATTATTCAACACAGGGTGAGAGCTATAAAATCTTGGAATATCTTTGGTGAGAGTTATTGAAGGCCACCAGAGGAACCAAAGGAAGAATGTGCAAAAACAAACTAAGTGGTGCAGGGGTGCAGAGTAAATGACTAAGAGGGCTTAGTCCTGCTAATTTTGAGAACAAGCAAAAAAAAAAAAAAAAAAAGCACTAGTGACAGGATGTCTATATCTTGCAGACAAAGCAGTAGAAATGCAGCACCTGCAAACAGAGTTTCATTATCTAGCAATCCGTGTGCTGTTGTCAGCTAATGGATCCAAGAGTGGAATGAAACTCCAGTCCTGGAAGAAAGATCAGAACAGCGGAAACAGGAGCAGGAGCTTCCTCTCTCATCATAATTGGGCTGTGGTTCTACTGGGGTTTCTTTCACAAAGAATAATAAAGAAGTAGAAGAATCCAATGTAGAAATTTGGTCCTGGAGACTAAGCCAGTATGTAGAGGGAATAAAAGCAGAGGAACTGTAGTTTCAAGGTTAACTATGAGTGCGTGAATGCTGAATTATTATCCTTGTAGGGTTGACTCTTAGTGCTGGGGAGGATAACCATGTGGAGACTCTGCCATCACAAGAGAGCCCAAAAGTTAGACCTGACCAACACCTTGCTGGATGGAGGACTGCTTATGTTCCCCCAGGAAACTGAGGGACTGAGGCTGCAATGTCTAGGCTGTGTCTTCATTTTCATCACAAAGTAGATCAGATAGAATATGAAAAGAAGGATGGGAGTGAGCATTAATGGTTCAGCTTAGAAAAGAGACAAAATAAATCACCTTTAATCACAGTACTCATGTGTACATATTTTCCACCTGTAAAGTAAAGGATTTTTAAGGTCAGAGATCACATGAACAAGTCCACAGGAGACATATAGCATCTTTTAATAAACTGGTTGATATTCAATGAATTCCTAATAAAATAAATATTTGCTATGTAAGTGTAAAAGATTTATCTTGAGATCCCCGAGAGTATTTCTAATAGTCACCTCTATAATTTCCTCCTCTTGATGATGACAATGATGATGGTGATAATGGTAATAATAGTATTAATAGTTCATTGGGCGCTTATGTCAAACTCTGATAAGTGCTGAAACTCATTTAATTCTCATAGAAACATTATGATGAGGCATTCTTATTATTTTCAGTACCTTTTTCTGATGAGGAAATTGAGCATTAAAGTAATTAAGTTATGTGCCCAAACTCACACAAATAGAAAATGAATAAGCCTGGGATTTGAACTGAAGCAGTATTAATTCCAAAGGCATGACACTATATATCTCTTTTGGTTTTATGATTAATAATGATGAATTTTTAGTCTATGTTACTTTCATCATTAGTTACCTTTAAGAATTTTTTTTTTTTTTTTAGCAAAGAGACATGTCATTACTGGATACATAAACTTAATTAGAAAACAATGCTAAGTTAATATAAATATCCTGAGTAATTGACATGACTTGCATTTATTTTTTTCCTTGCTACTTTCAGAATGGTTATGAACAAAAATGTTTTAAAATAACCTCTCAGCCTTGAGGATAAGATGTCACAAATAGTTAAGCATCAGCCTACAACTATCAGGGACTGGGTGTTTCTGCTTTGGGGTAAAGGAAAAATTTGAGTCACAAATACTTTTACTTTAAAAATATTTCATGGCTTTCATGTTTATAGTAAAGGTTTTTCAACTAAGGCAAAACTATCAAGGTTTCCTCTGACCATGAAACTTGAACAAGGGATATAATCAACTAATAAATATCTATTGGATCATATAAAACAGTCCAATAAATATTCAATATATACTCAAAGATTTGTATTCAAATGAATTTATTGACCTGTTTAAATGAGTTAACTCACAAAAGAATAGAACCAATTCTATTCTATTCAATTCCATTTATCTGATGATAAATTGAAGAAATCAGGCTTCTATGAATATAGGTAAATCCATTTACTACATAAAATAATTAAATGTAAACACACCTTATAACTGTCAGCACTTAAATTAGAGAATTTTCCAAGATCTTTTCAGATGAATATCGTATTTAGGCGAACAAAAGGAGAAGCATTTGATGATCCAGTGC